ATTCCAACAATCCAATAGAGTAGATGTTATCATCATCCCTGTTTTGTTGAGAAATTTAGTCTGGTTAGGTCTGTTGCTCCCATTCCACTAGGAATGGGACCCTAGAATCCTAGCTTTAGTGTCTGCTTTTAAACATTAAACTATCAACTTAGTATGTATTGTTTTTAACCATATTTATTCCCATATAAGTGTATTCAGATTACATAAATGCCCTCCGTTCCCTAGGCACTGCAGAAGAATGACAAATGGAAGGCATTCTGCATTATATAATATGCAACAGCCCTTTGGAAGCATTTTGTGGGATAATAGTGTAGACTTTATTCCCTCTACCTCATCCATAAACACTTCCCGTRGGATTGTTTGTTCTTTGTGGAATAATTTCCATTGCAATAATTCTTATTTGTTTTCTCAAAAATGATGGCTGATTTCCACCACTCATCAGTAGACACAGCCAGAGTGTCTTGGGGTATGTCTGAGAGCCTGAATTGGTCCCACTAGATCAGTAATTATCTTCTTGCCAAACTGATTTAAATGTCTTTAACTTACTTTTACTTCAGTAAATGTTTATAGGAACTCAAATGGGGAAAGTGGAGATGAATGGGAAGTAGTCCTTGACCAGTGAAACCCCAGGTTGCTAGAGGCAAACAAGGAACCAGCTGCTCTCAGCTCTGTGGAAATGCACATAGGACCATGAATAACAATAAAAGTCCAAGGTAAAACTTCAAGAAGCACAGGCCTCAAGGGTGCACCCCCACTTTCTACAGCAATGTGAAATTGCATCATGAGACAGAAAACCTCAGTTAACTTGCTTCAGATTGAATCCACCCAAGGTATCCTAATATATTTTGTGAGTTCATATAATGTTAAATTTCTAGTGTCCAACTGGATCATTTCCCTATTATTCAACCAGTTGCTGTTTGATAGATGATGGTTATAAGGGCCTCATTTCCCTAGTAATTTGAAATATTACTTGTTTTAGTCAGCTTTTTTATTGTTGTTCTTGTTGGGTCTTTTGGTCACAATTTTAGAAGAAGAAACCTTTTTGGGGGGGGCACACAGTTTCAGGGTCTCAGTTCATAGATGGCTGACTCCACTGCTCTGGGTGCAGTGTGAGGCAAAACATCATGGCAGAAGAGTGTGGTGGAGGAAGGTAGCTCAGGACATGGCCACCAGAAAACACAGAGACGAAGCTGAACTCAACAAAGCAGCTGCACAGTGACTCACCTCTTCCAGCCACACCCCACCTATGTATAGTTACTACCCAATTAATTGCTGTCAGTGGATTAATGCACAGATAATGTTAATGTAGTCATAACACAGTCATTTCACCTCTGAATTGTTTTGCATTTTTTCACAAATGAGCTTTTGGGGGATATCTCACATCTAAGCCATAACACAGCCTTTATTCTACTGTCAACTCCCTTGGCCATTTTTCTGGGCTTTCTGTTATATTCTAAGATCTGTTGATCCTTTATTTGTGCCCACGCCAGTACTATTCCATTAGTACTGGAATACAGAATTAACTTATAATTTATTTTTAAAACATTGTTCTGTCCCCCTCACCAGAAGCTGCAAACACTCATCCATTCTTGGTCTTCTTTTTCAGTTATCTTGATTCTTGTATATTTTTTTCCATGTGAACTTTAAAGCCATGGGTCTTATGTAGGGGAAAGAACCCAGAGTAGAATGGCTGGATCTTTAGAATACACACATTAGCAATATTAATAGGTAACACTGAGTCTATTTCCCCCCCCCCCCCCCCCCGGAGCGTCTGTCACCCTTGGCTGGATGGGGAAGGTGTGGCCATGGCTCCTGTGCCATAGACTCTTACTATAACACTGATCTATTCTGCAAAGTGGTTTATAGAATAACCCTCTCAGTAGTAGGGGAAGTGAGCACCGCTACTTCTCACCCAGATCAATGTTTCTATCTCCCCTCCTCTATTCTCATTCTCATGTTCTATTTGTATTTCCTGTCATTTAATCCACTGGTATTGTATAACTGATAATCTCTCTCAATACTTAGCACATCTTCCCTGAGTTGGAAGCAGAACAGGAAATGCCAAGAGTCTAGGCCAGAGGTCTTGGAAGCTCCTTGGCACTTGGGCTGACAGAGCAGTTTTCATCTGCAATGCATGACTGACCTGAGATGGCTGTGATCAGGTTGCTTTCTGATACCACATAAAGCCCCATTAATATCTGTCAGCCTCCTTCTGCCCCAGCAGAGCAGGCAGCTCTGTCCTCTGACCCTTCTCTTGACATTCTGATAGCTTTCCTTTTATATCACACACTGGTAAGAGATTTTTTTTTTCCCCTTTCAGCTGGAAAGGTCACTTCTCAAACATACCACCTGGGATGAATTATGTCTCTATTGATTTACACTCTCTTGTCTCAGCCACAAATTTCAGGGACTGTTTGAGGGCAGTACCCCATTTAAAAGGGGAAAGAAGCAGGTACTTACAGTTATAATGCCAGCTAAAGCCCTATTCGTTTTCTGTATGTTGTTCCAAGTTTTGTCCTAAGATTTTAGCAGTGTTGCTCACTATGTACCCAGTGGGACACTGGTTTCAGAACAGCATGGAGATTAATTCCTGAAATGAAACTCATCAGTCCAGGAAAAGGAAAAAAATTGATACTCAGAATTCCATCTGCTTCATATAAAAGATTGATCTTTCTCCTTTGTTGTAACTCTGATTCTGTTTCCTTTGAACTAAAATCCTGGTCTCTATGCCTAAGGATATATACTTTAAAACTCTGATAATTTAACTAATAGTAATGAGAGATGCATTCAGATCATTTTTCTTCTGAGATCTAGTAGAGATAGATGAAAGCCTCAATTCAATAGGAAACAAGGAACACAATTACATTATTAGAGTTATTCTAATTTCTGTGTCTAGCCTTGACTCTGCTCCACATTGGGGTCTGCACATCTTGTACTGAATACCCTGTTCCTGAAAAAAGATAGGCAGGATCTTTAGGTTGTGGAGTGAGGGCTAAAAGTGAGGGTTTAGTGTCTTCAGGCAAATGGAAGACATTAAACCAGCCCTTATCTCTTACTAAAGAAGAGCTACCCAGAGATGCCAAGTATACTCTAAGGCACCATAAATGTATGATATGTCAAGATCATTGTACTGTCATGTGTAACTAATTAAAAAAGCTTGAAGATCTGGGGCTGGGACTATATAGCTCAGTGGTAGAGCACTTGCCTAACATACGTGAGGCACTGGATTCTTTCCTCATTACCTCATAAAAATAAAATAAATAGAAGAGATTGTGTCCATATACAACTTAAAAAAGATGAAGATCTCTTGGACAGTACATGCTTCTTTTTTTAAAAATTTTTTATACCCAGGATTTAACCCAGGGTACTTAACCACTGACCCACATCCCAGGCCTTTTTATTTTTTAATTTTGAGACAGTGTCTCAGTTGCTGAGGCTGTCTTTCAACTTTAGATCTTCCTGCCTCAGCCCTCCCTGAGTTGGAAGCAAAATTACTGGGATTACAGGCACGCTCCACCACACCTGGCTGATGGTAAAAGTCTTCGAGAATGAAAATGACTAGAAGCCACTTGTGAAAATTGATTCAGTATTTTTTCAATATCTCTGGTAAAGAGACATCAATAGATTGTTAGGCCCTGAAAGAAATCTGACTCTGCTAAGCAGAGGTATGTCAGGAAGAACTAACTAAATGGTGTAGTATCCATCTGATATATCTGCCTCTTTGAATGATTTGACAGGAATCCTGTTTTCCAAAACTGGCCTTAGCCCTACCACTGTCAGACCATGAAGCCGGTTGTACCATTGAGTGATCTGCCTATTCCAACACCTGACCTCATAATTGTTTCATTCTTCTACCTACTAAACCACTGAGAAAAATGTATATGAATACTTCTTATTTTTGTAATGTATCAGTTGATGCAATTTTTTCATGGTCTTAAAGGAAAACTTTGAATAAGTTGAGTATGTGAAAACAACTCCTTCTTCCCTGGCTCTTGACCTTCAACTCTAAGTTTTCAGAGAAAGAAGATGGTACCACTTTCATATTTACAGAGAATATAAAGAAGACTATGACATAGTGAGATCAGTGGAGCTGGAATTGAAGTCTGTCCTTTGTGACTCTGAATCCAATATTTTTTCTTGATTCATTCTCACAAGAACTTATAGTACCATCAGGATGTTTAAAGTTCCATTATCTTAAAAAGGCAGAAGTCCTGGGAATCTTGTCACTTAGGTTTTATTTGGACCCTCTTTATGAGTAGCATTGAGGTTTATGTTGGGCTTATTTCATCCATGGCCTCTTAAAAAAAATCTTCTATTCTCATTTTGACTACAGAGTCAGTTATATGATGGGATTGTCCTAAAAGAATGAATTCTTAAAATGATACTCCTAGATTAGTCACTGAATTAGCAATGTAGATGGTGGTGTAAAGGTTAATCTTGGATGTGTTATTTTTTTCTAAGCCTATCTTCTCATCTACAAATGGGAATAATAATAGTAACTACCCAGAGGCTCTTAACCATTGAGTCACATCTCCAGCCCTTTTTATTTTTTATTTTGAGAAAGGGCATGATAAGTTGCCAAGGCTGACCTTGCACTTTTGATCTGCCTCCTTCACCTTCCTGAGCTGTTGAGATTACAGGTGTGTGCCAGTGCACCTAGCTGGCAGTTATTATCTTGATGATGCTATTGAGAATGTTTTGTCCTGTTTTAGCTCATCAGAAATGCAAACATGTTGTCATCATTATGTCATTTCTAGGCTCTCTGATGCAAATTTCACTGTGCCAGTGTTATTTCTAGGCCACACATCAGCCTGGCAGATTCATTCATGACCTTGGAATACGTGTGTTTGTTGTCTTTTATCGATGATGATTTTTGCTTTTGATTGACAAAAAAAGCACCTTGTCTACTAAACCGAAGAAAAACCATCACTGGCATTTTTATTTCTAGATGTGTCCGGAGAGCCCCATAAACACTGACCTTTTCCTTCAACTCTGTTTAGGATTTGATGCCTACTTCACATCTCGCACCCTTGAAAACAACAGAAGAAATGTGTGGTTTGCCGAGTACTGGGAGGAGAACTTCAACTGCAAGTTGACCATTAGTGGGTCAAAAAAGGAAGACACAGATCGCAAATGCACAGGTAATTTCATTCTCATTGTCCTTTTCCTGTGACTTGATGTGGCCAGCATTGAAATGTCTGCATAGTTGACAGAAGGAAGCTTGGCTGGAGACAAATTGAAAAAGTAAATTGAATTGTACTAGATTGTTCAGAAAATAGAACAGAAGCATAAGTCTTGCAGTACAAGAGAAGTACAGACAAGACTATATTCTTTTCTGCCTGTCCATCAAGCAGTAATTGACATTTTCATTGATTCTCTGAATTCAGAAGAGGTCACATTGTTTTGAACACTGTCATTGATGAGTATTAGTTTATCTTTTAGCCAAGGGTGTGAAGTCATTTTCACATATTCAAAAATCTCTAACAAATTTCATACCAGTATCACATTTAACTATTACCAAGAATGGTATATTTGATTAAGGAAACAAAGTGCTATGAGTTTCTAATAATGAAATTTTCAAATGATTTACATGATATGTAACTTAAAAAGTCAACTGCTAGTTAAAATACACTTAAAAATATTTACTCCTCCTTATATGTAAACTTATGTGAATGGTCCAAATATGAATATGTATGCCTAAATAGAATAAGATATATTCCATGCTTGCATAAATAGATCAAAACATACTCTTATGTCACGTACATCTAAAAAGAATAAATGAAATTTTTAAAAGAACATGTGTTCAAGTAGTCAAAAGGAAAAATCACATTTATTCATGTATTCATTCATAAGTGTTATTAAACAACCTCCTTTTCTGTTAAGAACTGTGCTAGGCATTTGTTGTTTCAGGATGAGTGAACCAGGTAAGGCTCTGCTTTCATGTTGCTTATAGTCCAGTGAGGGGAAATTTAACGTTATTCCAGTGATCTAAGAAATAAAAAATTATGGACTGCAATACATATTCTTAGGGTTATATATTGCAGTCCATAATTATGTATATTATGAGGACATGTAATTGAGGAATTTGACTTATAAGGTGGAAGCTTTCTCAAATGGAGGGAATGATGCTTTTGTTAAGATCTGAAGATGTATGGTGTATTAAGAATTGTAATGCAAAAATAAATATTTTTTAAAAATCTGACGATGGCTTAGGGAAGGAGAAAAATGGGTTGGAGGGTTTCTTATAGAAGAAAACAGGGCAAAGAGGTGTACCAAGAGGGATTACTGTAATTCTGAGGATCTGAAAGACAGAAAAATGTCTGAGATTGTGTGAACTGCTGCTGCAGGTGCCAAGAGATGAGAAAATATGAAGTTGGTTGGGATATACCTAAATTTATCCTGGGTTTTGGACAACCATGGAAGGATGTTACACAAGGTTATGACATTACATATCATGTTAGTAGCAGCATTCTTCAACTCTGTTCCAGTAGCCTTCAACATTTTTAATAGTGACCTTGAAAAATCATAAAATATCTTTATTAGAACCAGGGAAGGGACATTCAGGTTGGATAAAATTCTAGCATTGAGTTTTATCTTTGCAGTATTGCTCTTTGAATTCTGGTTACCTGGGTGCTATAGTTGAAGCCACTGGACAAGCATCTATGAATCAGGTGGAATACAGGTAACAACATGGTAGTAAGAATACAACGAAGAGTTGAGGACTTAATTCTCAGTTGTTTTCTGTGAAAACAAAGAAGATAGGAACAGAGATGTGAATAAAAGCAGTGATATGAAATGAACAGGATATATATGGAAGGCAGAGCAGTGAACTCTAATCACATTAATCACATTCTCCAGCCTATGTTATGTAACAATAAAGTGTTCTCAGAAATATGGCTCAATAAGGATGGGGGAAAGGGAATAAAACTAATTCAATGGTGACTGGACCTAGGTGACACAAAGCTTTCAAGTGGAAACCAAAAAAATTAGTTTGACATCTGGATAATTTGTCTCTAAGACAAGGAACATTCAAGTGTACCAAAAGTATGCAGATGATTGATGGAAGTTTTCTGAGTTTTTCTAACATTGGATGTTCTATGGGCTATTTGGAGGCGGAACCGATTGTCTGATGGGCATCAGGATTATTCCTGTCTCTGGAACAATCTTCTTACATGTTCCAGCTTGTCTTTTTACATGATCCAATCTAAGCATTTTTTCTGTCACCATATTTTAGTGTTGGCTAAAATTGATAAATTGGGTTTATAGAAACGGGGTTATTCCCCAAACTGCCACCTTGTAAAAATGGAAACAGAGCTGTCTTCCTGTCATACTCCTTTTGTATGAATAATCCATGATTAAGTTTACTAAATTACCTGGAACCCCAGATTATATCTTGGTCTTTCGTCCCCCTTTCTTTTATTCCCTTTTTCTCTGTTATAAGATGCACCATTTTGAGAGATGGCAAGTCCTTTTGCTATCATTCTTACTCTTGCAGGGATGAGAATATGTGGGTGAATTTGTCTTTGATCCTTCACTTTATTTTTCCAAGTCCTACTAAATTTATATATCGCTTTGGTAGTATTTTCAAAATACTGCTTAAAAAATCTTGACACTTAATACCTCAACTTGGAGAATTGTAAGAAAATTGTGGCTAGTCAGAGGGAAAAGAGTCACAATGAACAGAAGGGACAATTCCATTGCAGAGATGAATTCTTGAATGTATGGTGAGAACCTGAGTCGAAGAAGGCATGGGAGAAAGAAGCACAGGTGGATTTATGGATGTGAAAGATGTGTAAGGCAAGTTACCTTAGTAGCCAGCTTTTGTAACATTAAAAGAATGTGTGCGGGCTGAGGATGTGGCTCAAGCAGCAGCACGCTCACCTGGCGTGCACGTGGCCCGGGTTCGATCCTCAGCACCACATACAAAACAAAGATGTTGTGTTCACTGAAAACTACAAAATAAATATTAAAAATTCTCTCTCTCTAAAAAAATTTTTTAAAAAAGAATGTGTGCATTAGGAAGAAGCTACAAGACAAGGTGGCTTCTGGATGAGTGGTCTAGTTTTACAATCCAGTAATACAGTATATGTTTAGTTTAGTGTAGAGATAGCGATGTTTAGATATGAGGAATATGGAAAAGAGTCCCCTTTGTAACTTTCAGTTACTAGGTTCTGTTGAAGAATAACAGTATAATACCCTGTTTGTGAGCACAAATTAAGGTGTAAACATTTTAACATGCTCATTAGCCATAATGAGTTATTTCTTATATATCAATTCCAAATAGACCATCATTGAATCAGTTATCTTTCAAGTCAAGCTTCAAAAACGAGGAGTGAGATCCATAATATTTGAAGAGACCAAATTCTTGGAGTCATGATTTAATGATGAGTTCTAAAATTCCATGACAGTAAAAGATCTTGAAAGGAAGAATAATTGTAGAAAAATACAAATGAAGAAATATGGGATAAGCTGTGCATACCTCATAATTTAACTTGGGGCTAGAAGCATTTTTACCGATTATAGCCATGTACTCTTCACTCCTATAAATTATCCCTATTCACTTAACATTTCCTTCAAGCAAGGGATGCTACCACATTCTTTAATATTTTAAGAACTTCTCACTTTTCCTTGATACCTGGTTCAAGCTAGCTATCTTCCTATTTTCCTTAGCAGTAGCCTAATTTTTACCAATAAAGATAAAACATTGGTATGACCAGTCCTGCTGATGGGCCAGCAGCTCTCAAGCTTGAAGGCTTCCATCCCTTGAGGCATGCAAGTGGATAGTGGCCCAACCTTTCCCTGAAAACACAAACTTTATTTGGCAGATGTTAAGGCCATCCATGCTACTTTATGGTAGAGGTACATTCTCTCATTGGGTGTCAGCTCTTCACACTAAGCAAGCCCTTCTAGAGGGTTCCCTACAGACTCTGTCATTTAGAGGCAGAAAGATCAGGTGTGACCTGTTTTCGGGTTGTGTCCACGTCCCTGCACTTACAGCCAGTGGACTAAGTGTGTTTACCATGAGACCTCCCAGTACACTGCCAACACAAAGACCAGTTTAGGGTTTGACCTCACTGGGAATAATGTTTCTGCAGAGAGACTAAGGCCAAGGAAAGAAGAAAAAGTACTCAAATGATGTCACTGGAAAACAGGTGGAAGCCAAGTTATAGAGAGGAAAATTCCCATATTAAACTGGTTAAGAAGGTTTTGGAATAAAAAAAAAAAATTTGGAATCAAAGGAGTTAGGAACCTAAGACTATAGCTGTAAAAGTTTGAATAGCATTATTTTACCTCTCAAAATGACTTTTATTTCCTTTTTTTTTTTTTTTTTGCTGAATATTGAATCCAGGGGTTCTTCACAACTGAGCCACTTCTCCAGCCCTTTTTATTTTTTATTTTCAGATAATCTCACTAAGTTGCTTAGAGCCTTGCTAGATTGGTGAGGCGTGCCGCTAACTTGTGATTCTCCTGCCTTAGCCTCCCATGTTACTATGATTACAGGAGTGTGCCATCACACCCAGCTTTTTTCCTTATTTTTAAAATGAGGACAAAAACTTTAATTCTTAAATTGTTAGGCTTACATTAGATAATTCAAGTATAGAACCTGAAATGACAGTGTCACCTAGTAAGAGCTCCATGTTGGTAATATTAATCTGTGGTTCTGGGCCTATTRCTGTTGTCTGTAGGAATTTGTGAAGATTCCATCACGTGCATCAGTCTAGAGGAAAATCAAGGTATACATCAAACTGCCATGGAAAAATAAAGGCAGAGGTTTGGTTTGGCACATAATTATAGACAGGAGCTCTTCACTGGGGTACATGTTACTGGGTGAGTGACTGATGGAGGTGCCAAAAGTTTACACACAGGCATCACACAGTGGAATGTTCTGAGTGGAATAAGGTCAAGACCCAACAGACTTCAGCATCCTGGTGCAGAGTCTGTGTCCAGGTACCACAGGGCTTGGATTTGCACTTCTTATTTACCAAATTCTGTCCATTTTACTGTGATGAGCTATATCCTTGCATGGCTGGTAGCATCCTCAAGGTCTCGGCTCCCAAATGCATTTTTCAAATCAAGAAGGAGATTCTGGGAATCTGCATGTGCCTGTTGCAGCCATAAAGATTATCACTCTGTCAAATCT